TGCAGTGCCTCCGGAGCTTCAGTTTCACGAGAGTTTCCTGCTCAGCGAAGAGGACGTGCACTACGTTCTGCTGCACGAGGCCCACGTGAAGCACGGCGTGCTGTTGAACGTGCCGCCGCAACTGAGCCCTGGCGGCACCCCTCCGGAGGTACCGGAGCTTATTCTCCCTGCAGCGCAGGTGGAGCGGATGCGTGGGATGAAGTTGGCGTACGAGCCGACCCACCTGCCGCCACCGCTGCACACCACCGGTTCGCGGCAGCTCGTGATTGACAACGCCGCCGACCTCGTGACAACCACCGTTACGAAAAAAACCGCACCCGCCACTACTGTACAAGCGGCAGGAACGCCAAAGGGTGCAGGCAGCAGCGCGACGACGACGGTTCTGGTGCGTCGCCTCCCATCGGACCCAACAATGCGCTTTCACTGCACCGCCTGTGGCAAGGCGTTTCGTCTCGAATTCTCTGCGGATCACCACGTTAAGCTAAAGCATCCGTCAGATGCAGCAGCAGCTGTTGCTGCTGGACCGGGTGCCGGGGAAATCATTGAGGAGGCAGCCTCTGTCGCCGCTATTCCCACTTCTGCCGCAATACCGACGCCACCATCATCCTCATTAGCGGCAGAGGCTTCCGCAGCTGCAGCTGTAAATAAAGCAAACACTAGTGCGGCGCCGCCGAAGTCAGACGGGGTGCTCAGTGGTGGCGTCAGTGCAGTGAAGACGCCGTACAACAAGGCAGTCCTCGCGTTGCCGAGCGAGGAGCTGGTGGACGCACTGCTCAAGGACGTGTGGGACGTCGTTGCCACGCAGCGTGACGACGTCCCAAAGAAGAATCACCCTAGTGCGTACGTCCCCTTTGACACTGTTGTGGAGGGCACCGCGGACCGGCGCCAAGATATGGACGTTCAGGTGAAGCCGACCGCCCGCGCCACGCCAGAGGGGGCGGCGCCGGGTATCAAGAAGCCGGGCATGCTGTCCAGTGGCGCCATGACAGCGTCACGGGGCCGCGCGCAGGGAATGCTGGTGCCGATAAAGGAGCTTGTCAAGCGCTACCCGAACCCATTCGGCGATTCTCCCAATGCCGTGCTGCAGGAGCTGGAAAACGAGCCCGTCAACCCGTTCATTCCGCAGGAGGAGCTCACGGCACAGCTGCAGGCCGCACAGGATGGAGACGACATCGACAATCCCGCTCTCGCTTCTGCTGATGCTGGTGGCAAACACAAGGGTGATAAGGCGAGGAGTGTGCTTACCAACGAACAGCTTGCCTCACGGCCGAGCCTGGCGCGGTCAGCAACGCAGCGCCGCTTCACCTGTCCCCTTTGCGCCGAGAGACGGCACCACTGTTCCGGCGATGATGCAGTTCCGTCTTTTCGCCTGCTAGACGCCCTCCTTGACCATGTTGAGACGGCACATGATGGGGAAGAGCTTACGGATGCCCAGATGCACGCTCTGTACGAGACACAGCGGAAGTCAGCGATGTACGTGCCGAAGTCTGCGCTTAACGGTGACGGTGGCAGTGGGACGGAAGAAGGCAGGGGCGATTGCGACGACCCAAACACAGGTAATAGCCGAAGTGTGTCAGCAAGCGACGCGCTGAAGGCAGCCGCGATACCGGAGCTGCTCCAGAAGGCCGCGCCGCCTGCCGCGGTGGAGGCACACGCGATGTCGGTGCACGTACGTGCCGGCAGCAACACCGTACTGCTTGGTCGCATCGCTGACGTGCAGCACGGCTTCCTTGGCGCCATGGCGGTGACGCAGTACGTACTGGAGGTGTCTGGCGACAGCACCGCCCCTGCAGAAGGCGACCCAGCCGTCGCCGCCGCCGCCGCCGCAGCAGCAGCACCTACCTCGGCAGAGTCGGAGAAGGAGCTGATTGTTATTCGCTGCATGGGCGACAACTTTCCCGCCGCACTGCTAAAGGAGCAGGTGAAACTCGGCAGCACCGTGCTGGTGCAGGGCACGCTGCGCATGAACCGCCATATTGACGACGCGTCGAAGCGGCTGCACGCGTACCCGTTTGTGCAGGTGGTGCCGCCGCTCGGCTGCGTAAAGGTTGTGGGG